GTGAGATGAAGAGCAACGTGCAGCGAGGCTCTGGTTGAGAGGACTTAGTCTCACATCGTGGGCCAGCCGCCCACTTACTTTTGGTCCGTGAATTGTCGCGTCAGATGCAAAACTCCATGAGCTGTTGAGCTGATAGGCAAAGTCATATGCAAAGCGATCTAGCCAACTGCCAGTTCCCAATCGGCCTTCAAAGAATGCCAGCGGCGGCCTGTACTTGCAGAAGACTTGCTTTGCGCCCTTAATCATCTCAGCCTCGTGCCCTTCGATGTCGACCTTCACTGCTGCAAACTGCGCCACCCTAAAAGAAAAGTACCTACCTTCTCTGGGGAAAGTTATTTAGGACCACCCCGGTTTCGGACATCGGCGAACGATTGGACGGTGCTTCCAACTGAGCCAAATGGAGTCCAGCGATGTGGGACCTCAGTCCCAGAAGCTTGGAGCTTCAGGCCGCGACCACGTGGCTAGGTGGACACTAAAGTGCCATTTTGGCGCCAAATCTTGGCGGGAAATGACACGTGGCTTGGCGGGAGTGTGGTGTGGCTGCGCTGCTCGACAGCGCTGCTGTTGAGCGCCAGCTGCTGCTCCCTTCAGCCAGACGGCCGGGCCTGCGCAGCACGACCGCTGGCCTTCCTCCTGCACCACAAGAGCGCGCCAAGGCGCGCGTCTGGGCAAGCAGTGCGTCTCATCGCGATGCGAGAGTCGACGCTGTGACGCCGCCGCTCGCTGGCTAGAATGACAGTGGCAGCATTCGAGTACGCGTCGAGCTGTGCGTACCAGCACTTGTATGCGAGCTCATTGTCTCCCTGAGCTGCTGTGGGGTGCGTGGGCTCAGCTGCGGAGCACGTACTGGGCGGCGGTAGGGGGGTGCTCCTAAATAACTTTCCCCAGAGAAGGTAAGTAGAGAAAAGGGAGAGGGGGTGCGTGTCTAGTTTCTCTTTTGCACAACGCTGAGGGACTTTCGTCGTAAAATTCTCTTTTGTACTATCTCTTTTGTACGTACTTTTAGCTCTAATAAATAAATAGAGCAGACATCTCCAGGAGAGATGGGCGACGCACGAACACAGAGGCACAGTGCGCACCCCGCCCCGCTCGCAGGGCGTGCATCACACAGGTGGACTGTGTGACTCCTCGGGAGAACTCTTGACAGAGGTGTGCTAGATTAGTCGCTATTATCCGACGGTTCCGACATGTCCGAAGGGCAGTTCGGGCTCGAGCGAGAGCGCGGTCGCGGTCGCGGCCAGCGCGTGGGGCCTGGCTAGGGCTGCCGGGGGTGATCTCGACCCACGCGCCGCCCGGAGCGCGCGTGGTGCTTGAGCAGCCGGGCGGTCGCCGCAGCCACCTCGAACGGGAGCTCGTCGAGCCACTCGCCGAACGTGCCCTCGTCTTGCGCCGCAGCGAGGAAGCGTTCGCCTAAGCCGTACGCGCGGCAGGCCCGGTAGAGCGCCTCGTTCTGGATCTCGTGCGGCGTCTCCGAGTCGTAGCCGCAGACGGAGGAGCCGGCCGAAGAGGCCCGCTTTGCAGGCGGCGCGTCGGGCGACGAGGAGCGGGAGCGCCGCGGCGGCCCGCCGTTGCCGCGCGCGGAAAGGGCGTTCCTGTCGACGCGGGGCTTGGTGCGCCTGCCGCGGCCGCGCTTGGCCGGCCTCGCGCACCGTGAGCGGCGCGCCTCCCTTCATGCACCGCTCCGCGTCGCGGAGCCGACTAGCGTTGTCGCGCTTGAATGCCGGCATTCCAGCGCTCTCTTTTAGCTCTCTCTCTCTCTCTCTTGTAGAATGGTGGTAAAATTCTCTTTTTAGTGCGAGAGAGCTTTGTTGGAAAATTCTCGTTGAATTCTCTTTTTAGACGTTCGGCGGCTTCGGGGACGGCGTCCGCAAAATTCTTCGGCAGGCGGCGGACCAGCTGAGTAACAAACTTTCGCACGCTCAGCACCTCGATGAGGTCACATGGACCACCAACAACTGGCACGGGCTGCAGATGCAGCGCTTGTCTGTCGTTCTCCACACCGCCGTGGCGTGGCAGACGGTGAACGAGCTAGCGTGCGGGGACAGCGGCATTGTGCACGGAGCTACAGTCTGTTGCGGGCATTAAGAAAACGTACCATTAAGAAACCACGCCGAGCGATTTCCGCGAAAATCTAAGAAACCGCGGCGCCCCGCAGGCGCGGCCCGAGAAAGGGCCCACACACGAGTGTCACTTGTCATTTTGCCCAAGCAAGTCTGCGGTGTTCTGGGCGGTGTGGATGGGAGGTGTGTGCGTCTTCCTGTCATCCCAAGTGGGTGGCAGAAGTCGGACTGGCGACATCCGGAGCGGTCCAGCGCTTCCGTATTGTCATTGTACCTAAACATTCCTAGATCCCGTCTCACTCACCTGTGGGGTGCCGGCCGAGGCTAAGAAACCACGGCGTGGGGTGGGTGGGGTGGGTGGAAAGGCTTAGCGGGCCGGATGATTGGTATCGGGTTGCGGGCAAGAGAGCCCTAGCCCCGGGGGGTGCGCGTTCGCAGGGAAAGGGCCATAAATTAAACCCGTCTCCGAGGGTTGGCTCTGCGCTCCGGGTTTCCTCTGAGCTTAGTAGACTCCTTGCACTGACGGTCGGCCGCCAGAAAACACGCCTGCGTGGATCGCGTCACACCAATCCTCGTTATATTTAAATGAACTCGGGGGCACGGCCTCGCTACCCAACGCGGCCAAAGGATATCCTCCTCGAGAACCTCGAGAAGTCGTTTTTTTCGTGCAAGCGAATTCTTTTAATTTTCCCTCTCCGGGCGGGCGCGTTATGGACAAATCAACCACGCTCTACACCATCACCGCCGCCGGCAGCCTGTACACGGCGCACATGCTGCTCGCTCCGCGCTTCTACCTCTCGCAGGCCAAGATTGACGAGAACTTTGACACGATTGGGCTCTGTCGCGGCCTTGGCGGCGGCATTATCGGGCTGACGTGAGCTCGCCTTCGCCCACTCAGCCACTCCCTCGAGAGTGAGCGAGTACGCCGCCGCAGGTCGATGGCGTACATGGCGGCCAAGAGCTCCTCCGAAGAGCTCAAGCTGGCGGCCCTCTGCTCCGGCGCGACCGCCTTTGTGGCGTGGACCGTCAACAACGCCTGTGCGCTGCCGCCCGTCCTCCACCTCCTTCGCCGCCCGTCCCTCGCAGCCTTCAGCTCACCCACAGCGCGCCTCCCTCGCCGCAGACATCACCTACACCAAGGCTAGCCTCCAGGCCAAGTCGGACCTCGCCTGCTCGGCCTTCTGCCTCGGCATCTGCACCTGCGCCCTCGCCGCCGGAAAGTGAGCGAGCCGCGACTCGAGTCGGGCTTCCGCGGCAGCGCCTGGGAGTGTCCTATCTCAGGCGACTGGTGGCGGACTGCCGTGGCTCGCGGGCCGCCGGCCGAGAAATGCTGCTGACGACGCGTCGGCCGGGAGAGGGATGGATTGCGTGTTGTGCGAGCAATGATCTTCAGCGTCTTCCTATCCCAATAGTTCAAGACTAAAACGCCTCTCGCTTGTCGCATGTCGGCATCCATGCTTGCTATTCGACACGAGCGCGCGCGCGTTCGGGCTCGGCCGCGGCTCCGGCCACGCTCCACCTCTCCAGCCCTCCGCGCACCATCGGCCCCACACACCGCGCACACGGTCCCCCTTTTCTGGACAGGCCTTCTTCTCTCAACCACCAGAGACTCAGAGGACTATAAGAGGCACATATGCTGGCCATCAAAGAGGCGGCAGCTCAGCCGTGTTTGTTGCGCGGGAACACTTGACAGGCCGACGGGTTCATCTCGCACTTTGCGCACAGCGTGTCCCAGCCGTCGATCGGCGTCTTCATGCTGCAGCCAGCCTGCAACGAGTAGCGAGGTGGAGCCTCGTGAGCGGTTTTGCTCAACCGGGAAATATTCAGCCACGCTCATGAATCAGAGATGCAAGGCCCACGGAGCGCGAGGGTCCGCGTTGCAGCGTCCTACGCATTGACCTCGTGGCCGAGGCAGCGCCCCTGCATCCACCCGATTGAACACTCGTCGCCGCACACCTACCGCACAGCCGCCTCGGCCTGGGGCAGTGGGCCCTGACCTCCCTTGCCGCTGCGGTGGCGGTGGCATTCCATACAGGGTGGTTTGCTACTGCCACGGGCCCCTCTCACTTTCCCGGTGCAAGGCAGGATCTTGGCGCGGATGCCCTCCACGTCCCCCTCCTCGTCGAGCACCTGCCGGGCGATGGGTTTGGAACAGTCATTGCCGCGACGAAGCAAGGCGTGCGTGAGCCGTCACCGTGATCAGCTCCAGCGGCGGCGGCCGCGGCGGAGGCGGAGGCGTCGGCGGCTTGGGCGGCGGCGGCAACGGCTTGGCGGCCAAGATAGTGTTTACCTGCGCGAGAAGAGGGGACGCAGATGCCGACGGAGCGCAGAAGCAAGAGAGTAGTGAGGTGCAACAGATGTGCCGAGAGAGAGAGAGAGAGAGAGAGAGAGAGAGAGAGAGAGAGAGAGAGAGAGAGAGAGAGAGAGAGAGAGAGAGAGAGAGAGAGAGAGAGAGAGAGAGAGAGAGAGAGAGAGAGAGAGAGAGAGAGAGAGAGAGAGAGAGAGAGAGAGAGAGAGCAGAGCAGAGCAGAGCAGAGCAGGGACACCGCGACATGTAGACTCGAGCCCTCGCTAAAGTAGCCTCCACTCGCCAGCCACTCGCTCGCCGCACCGGCATTGCTCTGGTAGCTATCGCTGACCTGAGTTGTGCATGGCGTCAGCATTTAGGACCCATTTTTTGTCTTTCTCCCACCGTCTGCTCCCACACCTTGTTGAGGAGGCTCCCGAACCACCCCTTCTCCTCTCCGCGTGATGGCGCCGGGTGCGTCAGCTGCTGCGGCCCTCCATGCAGCATGCCCATGCCACCGAGCATGCCGCCGCAGCAGACAGCAGTGGCCGCGAGAGCAAGACGTCCCGTCCTGCAGCGTGCCGGCGACGAGTCCGATGAAGCGTCAGGGGCGATCATGACCTGTCTCAGCACACAGGCCGGCACCGCCGACGATGATCGGCGGGGACGTGCGAGTCTGCGTGCTTCATTTTCTCTTGTGCCAAGTGTTGTGCGAGCGAGTTTAATCTCTTTCAAACGTGCGTCCGCGGCTGCCTGATGCCGCTCTCTGCCCTCTCGACAGCCACCAGCGAGCACCGATCCGCAGCCCGGGGCCACGCGGCAGGGCACCAAGCCTTCGATGGCGGCCTCGCCCGCCATCGACCTGGGAGAGTCTCTCGAGGCTCTCTTCAAGCGTGCACGCATTGCCGACAAGTTTTACCGCAAGTGCGAAGGGCAGCTCGAGGACCTGGGTGTGGGTGATGCTGGCGACCTCCTCGAGGTGGTCGCTTTGAAGGGCATCGTCTCGTTAGGAATCCACGAGCAGCCCAGGCGGAGAAGCTCCGCCGGACTCTTCTCGGCCGACGGGGCTGGGAGGATGCAGCTGCGGTCTTGGCATCCCTTGGCAGCCTGTCGCTGGACGACACCCCTCCTGGGGTGGCGGCTGGCGATCAGGAGGCTGGTGGCGCGGCCAACGCGTCTGCTCTCGACGGCATGGCCGTCGATGGCGGCTTCGCGAGCGCCGACGAGCAGCAGCTCAGGCTCCAAAATGGAGCCGGGCTGCTCTCACAGCGGCGCTGGTACGAGCGCTGCTGCTGAGTGCGGCGAGGGGGCGGTGACTGGCGGCGAGGGCTGCAGTGGCACGCGCACCCCAGAGGCGGAGAGCGGCGCCCCCGCGAGGCGCGGGCCGCAGTGGTGGGACCCGCTGCACCCCAGAGGCGTTCTGTCGCCCGGCTGAGCGAGGAGCATCCGCTGCCGCAATTCTTTTTATCGCAGGTCGAGTGCACGGAGCTAAGTGCCTCGCCGTCCTCGCGGGAGTCGCTTAGGCGGCTCCAGTGGTGTACCTGTGTTAGTGCCAGTGCGCGCCAGTCCAGTTTGGCACTTAAAAGAAAGAAAGAAAACAGGCAACCCAAGGGAGGGATGGGAGATGGGAGAACGGCACGCCGCCACCACACAGGGATTTTAAGGAGAGGTGTGTGGTGCGCTAGCCGTCGCCCACCCTAGGGAGTCTGCCTCTTCCTATCTCTCTTCGCAGTCTCTCGCCGCTTCTCGCTGCGGGGGTGCGCGTTCGCAGGGCAAGGGCCTTAAAGTAAACACGGGTCTCCGAGGGGGTTGGCTCCGTGTACCGGGTTTCCCCTTAACTTCAGAACGCCCCCTCTACTCGGAGCTAGTAGACACGACACTGTACACCAGCACGTACACAGGTCCTCACTCAGCATCCCGTATCAGGGTTCCACCGCCCGCCCTAAAAGAAAATTCTTTTTCTCGCTGGCACACACACACACACACACACGAGGTACCCAACGCGGCCAAAGGATATCAACCTCGAGAACCTCGAGAGAATGAACTCCGCTCTTTCCTACCTTGGCTCTCATGCCCTTCTTTTGGGACATATGTGCCTTGGAGGAGGGGCGCGGTGCTCTTCTTTGGAGCTCCCGTCCCCTCCGAGAGCCTCGGTGGTGTCAGAGGGATGGCGGTGGGTGGTTTTTTCTCGTTGTCTGGTGGCTTGGAGCCTGACGGTGAAGCCTCACTGAGAAGGCGCGTGGTAGCTTGCTTTCGGTGGTTCCGACCCTTCGACTGTGAAACCGCCTCTCGCGCTGTGGGCGCGTTTCTTCTCCTCTCGGCTAGTCACTCGCGCTGGTTCACTCCCGGGAAAGGATCCCTAGCCATGAACTCCGCTCTTTCCTACCTTGGCTCTCATGCCCTTCTTTTGGGACATATGTGCCTTGGAGGAGGGGCGCGGTGCTCTTCTTTGGAGCTCCCATTACGGAGCTGTGCGTAGCTTGCTCCGTGCGCCGCGGCCCTCAAGGGGTACCTATCTTCCCGCTGCGCTCTGCGCGTGCTCCTTCGGGCCGCGAAGAGAAACACCTTTCGGGGGAAAGCACAACCAAAGCCTGTCTAACATGAACTGTATCGCGTCGTCGCTCCAGCTCGTCACTCAAACTCTCAGAGGCTGGCTAGAGAGGATTCGGAGCGCGGCAGTACTCTGGGGCTCGGAGGGAGCGTCGCATACGCGGAGGGAGCTCGGGGTTACCCTAAACGCGATCCCGGGGTGGGCGACTCGCGGAGCGCGGACGGATCCCCAAATTGAGTGGCTGAACGGTTACCAGCCGTCCTCGTCTTCCTCCGCCGAGGTCGCGGAGTCTGAAAGGTGGTCCCGCAGGAGCCCCTTGGGGTCCCACTTGCCGACCTTTTTGGCGTGGCTCTTGCAGGCCACGTACTCGACCGCGGCGAGGAGCTCCCAGTACCCCGCCCTGTCAGCCTTGGTCGTCAGTGCTATAAGCGTGGCCCTGAATTTCTCGATGAACGATCGCTCGGCGGCGTCCAGGTCGTACCTGCCGCTGGGCGAGTCGTACCCGGTGAGGAGCTTCCAGTAAAAGGGGCCTGCCACGCGGTTCGCGAAGCTCACCCGGAGCTGCGCCTCGTTCGTGTCGAAGCCTCCCGTGCCCTTGAAACTCAGGCGGTTTCCTCCCTGCCCGAGGGGCACGTACTCCTTGCCTCCGCTCCAGCGGCGGGCTTGTCGGATGGCGGCGGCTGCCTCCTCCTTGCTCATCCATGGTCGCTGGGCGACCTCAGGCCTGGCGGCTGGCGGGAGCTCGGCCCACAGCATAGGTCCGGCACCTTGCTACGCGACCTTACTTCGCGGCGGGCGGCTCGAAACGATTTGTTTCTTTTCCCAGGTCACGAGTTGCGGATGCGCGCCGGCGTTCGCTAACTCGGCTCCGCTCGACGCGGCGTGAGTTCTGTGGGGGCTCCGTGCGCGGGGCATGTGCCCAGCGCTTGATCTCCGGGTAGACCCCCGGCCGGAAAAGCTCTCCGATGTCGATCGGGGTGCCTCGTCTGGATGCTTCCCGTGCGCCTTGGATCTGCGCGATCCTGCCCGCCGCTCTCCAGTTTATCTCCGGCAGCGGCTGTCGTCTAACCGAGCTGAACGGTGGGTTCACCCTCGGCATCGGCCTGCGGAGCAGGTCGTCGACAGATGCGGGCTCTGCTCGCCTCGCGGAGATGAAGGGCAGCTCAGCTTCGCGCTCTGCGTTCAGCGCTGGCCCCGTCGCTGCTGCTCGCTCCGGCCAGTGGGATGGCAGGTGCTCGACGGCTGATAGTGCGAGCTGCGGGCTCGGTTGCTGCGCTCGCGCGCCCGGCTCGGCCGGCATGGGCGGCGACGAGCCGGCGGCTCCGCTCTCCTCTCTCCGCGGTCGGCCGTCCGTTCGTTCGTCCGTCCGTCCGTCGCTCTCGTGTCCGTTCGCGGGTGGCCGCGGCGGGGCGGCCGCTGCCACCAGTGCCCTCATCGGGCATGCCGGCCGCGCGCCCGGGGTCCGCAAGAGTGCCCAAGCTATCCTCCAGCACATCTCTGGCGGGTACTCGGCCGCCTGCGGGCTGTTGGACTGCCCATCTGCGTCGAACCCGTGTACTGGCTCCGTGTGCGTATGCGCCGGCATCGCCTCGTGCCGCGCATCTGCGAACGCTGCGCTGAACGCGTCCGCGATCCCGGGGGAGACGAGCCAGCCGGTCGGCTTCCGCGAACCGTGCACCTCGAGCTTGCCCGCTCTCTCCGACCGGTTGTGGAGGGGGCATTGGTCGTGCTGGATGACCGTTGCTCCTGTCGCGTTCATGACTGCAAGAGCGACCGGGTGCTCGAAGAAGTTGATGTGGTTCGGGAAGCGATCCTCGTCTCGCGGGAGGAGCGGGTTCTCGATCGCGAGACTGAGGTCGTGAGTCGCCCCTCGTCCGTAGCGTCTGGGTAGACCTCTCGTGCCATGTCTTCGAACGCGGCGAGCGCCAGCGGGCCCCCATTGACGGCTTTAAGCACCTTCATCCTCGTCCCGCGGTTGAAGCTGAATCCCGGTCGTCGCGACGCTGTCTCGGCGCTGGTGAGCGTCGCCTCGATGACTCCGCGCAGCTTCTCCCACGCCGCCGTAACGTCCTTGCTCGTCTGTCCATCTACGCTACTCTGGTGTGCTGCTAGCCGGCCCTCACCTGTCGAAAGCAGGACTCGCCGCAGGTCGTCGACGACGAGGGTGTCGAGGAGGCCGTCTCCGTCCGCCAGTGCCCCGCGGTGGTTGGCGCGGCTGACTCTCTCGAGCGGCTTGTAGTGTAGTTGCGCCGTCCCGTCGCCTCCCCCCGTGCCCGCGCTGATTGAAATCTTGCGCGCTCCGCCATGTCCTCGCGACCGCGATCGCGACCGCGAGTTCGACCGCTCGCGGTCGTAGCTGCGCCTCCGCCCCGATCGCGAGCGCGAGCGCGAGCGGCGGCGGCTCCGGCTCGAGTGCCGGCGATGTTGGTCGCGATCTCCCCCCCTGTCTCTCCTCCTGTCTGAGTCAGCGGCGGTGGCGGAGAAGATGTCGCGGATGCTCTCGACGTCGTCGTCGTCGCGTGCCGCGTCCGGTGTCCGGATGCGGTGCTCCTCCATCCAGGCGTGCACTCGCCGCCCGACGCGCTCCGTCGCCTCGGCCGACCACTCCTGGTTCGACCGTGGATAGTCGTCTTCGTGAATGCCCATCTCTTTGGCCACTCTCGCCGGGAGGAGGAGGCGCGTGTTCTCCGCCAGCGGAGTGCCCGCCGGGCAGAGCGTCTTGAGGAGGCGCGTGCCGTAGTCCGCGCGCCGGTAGACGCCCCTGTCGTCTGCCGGCCTCGCCAGCCGCGGCTCGCTCTCGGTGCTTTGCGATCCGTCCCAATCGTCACCGTCGTCAGCCTCTCGGCGCTGCCTCGAGCGAGAGCGCTCCACCCCCTCGCGGCGGCCGCCGTAGTGCCGTCCGCGGTCGCGGCCCCGGCCGCCGCGGTCGTCCTCCTCGCCTTCTCCGTCGAGGCGGACTTGCATCGGGGCGATGGTGTAGATCTGTCGCAGCGCCGTCTTCATCCAGTCCTCCTTGCTCGTGTCGACCATCTTGTGCGTGACCGCTTGGTCCAGGAGGTCGAGGTTCGCGTCCGCCGACGCCGGGAACTGCCCCTCGGCCGCCTCGAAGATCTGGGCGTACCGCTTCGTGATCGGCAGGTCTCCCGCCAGGCCTGCGGCGCGGCAGACCGCCGTCACCTCGTCGTTGGTGCCGTTTGCCTGCCCTGCGTCCTCTGGTGCCGCCGCCTTGCCTTGGATGCGGACGAGCGCCGCGAGCCGCGGGGCGTCGGACAGGTCGGCCTGCCGCTCCCCTTCGACCGGCTCGCCCTCGGCCGCCGGCCAGCGGTACTGCTTGAGGAAGGCGGAGAGCTCAAACTCCTGTGTGACACCTGCCAGCGTCGTCCCTGCCATCGTAATCGTGGCCGAGACCTTGACCTCGCCCTCATCGCCGGAGGCGACGAGCCCGAGGGCGGCGGCGCGGAGGCCGTTCGCCGGTCCCTGCACCGCGGAGCGGGGGCGGCTGAAGCCGAGCACCATCCCCTTGAGCGAGTCAGCCAGCTCGTCTGCCTTGATATGCTTGGTGTTGCCTGAAATCTTGACAATGTACTTCTTCGGCGTGCTCATGTCGCTGCGCTTGATCTGCTTACCGAGAATGCCGAATGCCACGGCACCTGTCCCGGGAAAGCCCTGTAGGTAGCAGAGGGCGCCCTCATACTTGGCGTCGGTCTTCGTCTTGTCGTCGTCGTCCTTGATCCACGTCTTGACTGCCTCTAGCGCGCCGTCTCCAACGGCGTCGCCGCACTCCGCGAGTGCGGCCGTCACTTGCTGCTGGTAATCGGTCAATGCCATCGGTTTTTTCTCGTTGTCTGGTGGCTTGGAGCCTGACGGTGAAGCCTCACTGAGAACGTGGTAGCTTGCTTTCGGTGGTTCCGACCCTTCGACTGTGAAACCGCCTCTCGCGCTGTGGGCGCGTTTCTTCTCCTCTCGGCTAGTCACTCGCGCTGGTTCACTCCCGGGAAGAGAGAGAATTCTTGATACGAAACCACGACGACACACACCAGTCGACTCGCATCGGTTGCCTCCATGAACGGCGGAGCTATTCTCGCGCCCACACCACACCTGGCTCCAACGTGGACACGCCCATAGCTGGGGACACTACTAGGTCACGCATGGCATCACAGAAGTTTTATCTCTGGGCCCCGAAAGGCATCTCTAGCAGTGTCGTTACACATGCCCCCTCCCCTCCTGGGCGCATGCGCCTCACGTCTCGCCAGAGCATAAGCCCTTGGCGTGTGGCGAGACGAGTTTTTCGCCATCGCAGCGAGCAGCAAGCCGCCCGCCACAAACAGCCGGAGGCCTCGCCGCGGCACTGGCTGCGCCGCGGTCCCGCACCCGTCGACGCAGCTCCCCCCGCGGAAGACCGCGCGTAGCAACGTCTTGACGATCGAGATGAGCGTGCCTGAAGCTCGCCCACCTACTGCCCCTGAGAGTTGGTTATTGAGTGGGATCAGCTCCCCCCCTTGGGATCGAAGCCGCCACAACCTCACACCCAACATCCCAGGCGGGATCAGAAGGGGACTCCACACCGGACACCGCCCGGGCACAGCCCCCCTACCCGTCGGATCGCACAGAGGGCCCCCTCGGAGCAGCCCACACACAATCACGCATCGGCAGAGTTAGTGCCTGAGTCAGGCAGACAGCACAGACAAGGAGAGGAGAGAGAGAGAGGAGAGAGAGAGAGAGGAGAGAGGAGAGGGTGAGGGAGTGTGTACACGTGAGGAGTGGGGAGGGTGTCTGTGGTGGGTTGTAGTCCTACTACGTGGTTAAAACCACGCGCCCCTCAGGAGCTTAAGGTAGAGCTGAGCGTCCAAGACGCCTCGGTGCCTCCCACCGGCGTGAGACCATCCGGATCTGCCCACCGCGCCCTCCGGGCTGAGTGGTCCCCGCGATGGCCCACGGTCCGCCGTCACCTGGTTGAACCCCCTGCCTCCCGGTTGAACCCCCAGTCCTTGTAGTCCATCATGAAATAAACTCAAAGACCCACCACGCCTCCAGCCTCCACCTCCACCCGCGAGCCGCCACCGCTGCCGCCCGCGACGCCGCCCGCCGCGTCAGATAGCCGCGACGCGCGCATCGAGTCGCGTCGGAGAGCCGCGCCGCACCAGCAGCAGCATCTGCACCACCACCAGCAGCAGCAGCACCACCACCACCACCCGAGAGAGAAGCGCACCTGCCCGACGCCGCCCGCCGCGTCAGACGCTCGCGACGCGCGCGTCGAGCCCAGTCGCACAGCCGCGCCGCGCCAGCAGCAGCATCGGCACCAGCAGCAGCAGCACCACCACCACCACCAGCAACAGAGACAGGCAGTGCAGGCGCAGAGGCGCTCGCAGAGCGGCGCTCAGCGCCGCGCACGCCACGCTGCGGACCGTCGGACGAGCGCACCGTACGTCGGCGGCGAGCCGCGTCGCCAGCCGTCTCGCGAGAGAGCGGCGCCGCCGCGTGCGCGCAGCAGCCGCCGCGGCAGAGGCGAGCCGCGGCGACGTCCGCACTAACGGATAACGGCCATTGGCGGTTTCTCTCTCTCTCACTCCCGGGAAAGGATCCCTAGCCACGAGGTGGGGGGGTGGGGCAAGGGGGGCGAGCCTCGCGTCTCCACGTCTGACGCAGGAGCCCCACGGCATTCAACGTGCAAGGCCCGTTCTCGCTGGCACGGAATGGAGCAAGCGTGGCGCTGGTGAGTCTAGCTAGAGCGACGACCACTGTGTCACGAGTGCCAGCACGCGACGCTGCCATCACAATAGAGCGACAACAGACCGTGTGACGAGTGCCAGCACGCGACTTTGCCAGGTACGGCCCTGACGACCCCGTCACGCTGGAGCACGTCAAGCAGGCCGGCGCCACCGGCATCGTCACCGCGCTGCACGACGTCCCGATTGGCGACGTGTGGACGGTCGATGCGATCGAGGCACGCAAATCGCTCGTCGAACGCAGCGGGCTGACGTGGTCCGTGGCGGAGAGCATCCCCGTGCACGAGGCGATCAAGCAGGGCCGCGAGCCAGAGCGGTCCGCCTTCATCGACAAGTACAAGGCCTCGGTCACCAACCTCGGCCGGTGCGGCGTCCGCCTCCTCTGCTACAACTTCATGCCCGTCATCGACTGACCCG